TTTTTTTTTTGTTTTTTGTTTTTGGTGGGGAGACTAAGCTGTAATGTTTATTTTTTATTCCCAACTCTTTTACAGTTGCCATTTGAGCAAAAAGAAAGTCACAACGCAAAAAGTTGACAGATGGTGCATCTGTATTGCAAATGATGTCACACACAGTGTATGTATTAAAGCCTCCTTCATGACTTAAGTTTTGCTGTCCTTTAAAAACAGAGATTATTTGCTGAGTTAATTTAGTTTCATTTACTGTTCATTGTGTTTTCATTAGAGCACCTTTAGTATGTGATTTATAGATAGGAATTTCTGGTTTTAAATTTCTTTTAATGTAATTAATGCTTGCTAGAGTTGTTTAACCTTCACTACTTGCCACTGATTACAGTGGTTAATGAAAAGAGTTGTCAGAATGCATCTAGAAAGAGTTTTTTTTAAGATAAAAAGTTAACTCCAAGAGGGAGGCACACTAACTTATATTAGTGTGCCTGTTCAAAAAAAAATTGTGTGTAGTTTTTACATTTATTTTTTGACACAAGAAATGTTAATATACCACATGCTCAGTGTATGATAAAATTACAGTGCAAGGGAAGAGTTAGTTGTGCTTAACTTGCACATGCGTACATGTTTTATCATGCATAGGTGACTTTTACTGTCAGAATCCGTGGCACTTGAGAAATATTTCATGTAAGAATTTTTGTTATTCTTGTACTGTCTGCCAAACTCTCTCACAACTAATTGTTCACCAACCTAACACATGAAAAACGGTAGCCATTTTATAAAGAGCAGTGCACTGAAAATTACATAAACCGTCAATGAATTGATGAAATAAAAAATACAAGAAACATCCATAAAGAAGCACTAAAAGCTATGTAAAAGAAACATTCATAAAACATTCAAAATTAAAAAAAAAAAAAAAAAAGAGCTACAAATTAACTGGATTAAGAAGCAACAGTAAAATTCTTAATAAAACGCTTAACCTTCTTTTTCCCGGTCTTTTGTCCTTGTGCACTGTGATTAAAAAAAATCGGAGAATTGCGGAATTCTCGGCATTGCGGTACAAATTGACACTGCTGTCCATGTACGCATCAACCTGATATCGAAATAGGGAACCCATGGTGTTGCCCAAATATGTTTATATGGCAACCAAGGTATGCGCACACTTGCAGCATTTGAAAGTGGATTTCCATCATCAAATTATGTGTTCATTTTTCTGTTGAGTACATTATTTTTCTTATAAAGAATTGTAATTTGAATGTAGAGTTTGCTGGCTGATGAAAAAGAAAGTGTTGCATTTATTCCAAAACGGGGCATTTTGGCCAACAGTGAAAATGCAAGGTTTTTTTGCATCCCATGAAGTTATACTACTTAAGTGATCAAAATTTGTGCAGTTTTCTGATACTTTTTTAGGTGAAAAAGTATTGCTGTGTGCATGGAGAAAGCAACAGTGAACCCCCCCCCAAAAAAAATGACATAAATATTTCTTGAAAGAAGTGTTTTAAAAAGTGATACATGTTCACATATTAGAAGACTTTCGAGGTTGTGGATAATCAGAAAGTTTCTTATTTTGTCCCAAGGTTCTAATGAAATTTTTCACCAACCCTAATTTGATATGAAAAGGAGGAAGTAAAATTTTGTTTGGACTTACTACTGGAATATTCTGAAAACTATTCAGTTTTGAGAATAGTTTAATGAAAAATTCAATGATGTTTGTAGTATCAGGTATACTTCAAGATATTGTTGGTTCTGTTTCTGTCCAGAACAATAAAGTAAATGAGGTTATTAAGTAAGTCAGTGGTGCGCAAATTAGGGGTCGTGACCCCTGTGGGGGTCACCAGAAGTTTTTGGGGGGTCTCTAAATTTTTCTGAAATGCATTATGCCTGCATGCTGCATACCATACAGTGTATATATAAAGAGTGAAGCACCGTCACTCACTGTTTAATTTCAATTTCATGCTGTCCACTCTTTCTTTGACCGTAATGTGTAATGTATGTAAAGTGTGGAAGACGCAAGTTTTTCACTCCGGTAGATAGTAGCGCCCTCTTCGCGTGGTAATTCGCCAGTTTTACTGAAAAGCGCATCTATTTGACTAGATGTTAACCGCAGGGAAAAGGGAAAAATTCGCTTCCGTGATCAGCCAATCAGATGGCGAGGTACGCGGTGTATCTGATAGTCAGAGTTAAGACGTGAAGTGTTCGCATGAAGTTGTAGCATGACCATTATCAGGAGATACCGTGTCTTGGCGGATTTCCGAAATTTCACGAAATATCGAGTCAGAAGTCATAAAGCGCATACAAAATTCATCTGTATTTGCTTTACAAGTGGACGAGACTACTGATATTACTAAAATGTCACAACTAATTATTTACGTTAGGTTTATTTTTAATGAAGATATAACAGAAACGTTTTTATGTTGCAAAAGTTTGGAAGGAAAAACAGCTGGAGAAAAAATATTCGAAGTAATAAATTAATATTTTGAAACAAAGTCCCTTACCTGGGCAAACTGTGTTGTGGTTTGTACTGATGGTGCTGCAGCATTAACAGGTTCGAAAAAAGGGCTCAGAGGCTTAATTCAGAAGGTGGCGCCTCATATGGTATTTAATCACTGTATGATTCATCGGAAAGCTCTTGTTGCAAAAGATATGGATGAAGAGTTGCACAACATATTACAAGATGTTGTTAGTTCAATTAACTACATTAAATGCAACAGCCACAACAGCCGTCTGATTTCAATACTTTGCAATGAGATGGGCTCAACGTATGAGAGATTACTGTTACACACCGAAGTCAGATGGCTTTCACGTGGGAAAATCTACGACGGATATTTGATTTGAGAAATGAAGTGTACATGTTTTTAATCGAAAAGAAACATAGATTGGCAAGTTATTATATCAATGAAGTTTGGCTAGGGAAGCTGAGCTATTTAGTTGATATTTTCGAAAAACTAAATTTGAGCTTGCAGGGTGAGAATTCAACTATCATAACTTCAGCCAGTAAAATTCAAGCTTTTAAGAATAAGCTTAGTCTCTGGCAAACGGAACTGAATAAAAACAACACCGACATGTTCCCTTGCTTTAATGATTTTATCAAGGAAAATAATATAGATATATTTACATTTAAAAACATCATTTCCAATCACATTGAAAAGTTAAATGAAAATTTTTCGAGGATTTTCCTGAAAACGATCTTGGTTGGATTCGTGATCCATTTTCCTTTGACAAACATATGCAGTTCAACTCTTCAAATTAGTGAGAAAGAGCAATTGATAGATCTAATTAGTGATTATACTCTTCGAAATCAATTTAAGACTCAGCCTTGCCAAAAATTTTGGCTATCCGTGGAAAAACAATATCCCGTTTTATGCAAGAATGCCATCCGAGTGTTAATACAATTTGCATCAACGTATTTATGTGAAACTGGATTTAGGAAACTAGTTTCAATAAAAACTAAATACCGCTCGCGTTTAAACCCTGAAGATGATATGCGAATTGCAATTAGCAACATACAACCAGACATCAATGAGATAATTAGAAACTTGCAGCCACGTACATCTCATTAAAGGGCAATTTACTGATTTTTGTGTTATACAAAAAGTATTTTCTTAAAATTATAAATAAAATGAATACGAGTCAGATATGATGATGTTTTTATTCGATGAAACGAAGGAAATGTGCGAAATATACATCGTATTTGTGAACATTTATCTCTAGGGGTCGCCAAAAATTTTCTCTCTACAAAAGGGGTCGCAATCAAAAAAAGTTTGCGCACCACTGAAGTAAGTCATATTAATCTTTTGGTTTCCTAGTACATGTAAAAGTTATTTTTACATTATGCATGTTAAAGCATATTAAGCAACAAAGTTCTTATAATTTATCTTTTGAGTTTTCTCTAAAATACTATAAGATTCTTAGTTTACTATCTCTATATATGATTGACTTGCCCAAGTGTTTTAAATGTATAAGATAGGTTTTGATTTAACATGAGACTTCTCCTTTCTCTTTAGCACTTTTTGAGTGACTTTGTGCTGTTATGATATTTAATGTCACATGGCATATATTACCTTGTCATTTAAAATTCTTTTTCTTCTTTTTTGTTTCTTCCTTCCTTTTTAAATTTTTTTCGACGTGTGTGCGTGCGTGTAATGAAATGACTATCGCATGACAAGTCATAAAAACGAAGAATAAATAGTTGTCGAAATCTAATAAATAAATGCAGTTTAAACACTGCTTTTCATGAACAAATCTAAAGAGCTGCATTCCTCAGAGGGTTAGAAAACAAGGTTATTGATGTAACTGAAGCACAATTAGAAATTATAAACAGTATTTTTGTATTTAGTTAAAACTAGAGCAGTAACACCAATGAGAAGAGTTTTAGAAGAAAGCTGAATTGTATAGCATGTGAATTTGATCTTTCTTGCATTGAAAGTGAAATCTAAATTATATATGGGAAACTTTGTATGTTACCAGAAAACAAAGCTGAAAAAGATTGAAAGAATGTAAATAACCTGACGGATGTATAAAATATTTGCATCTGAAGGACAGGAGCTAAAAAGAAGGTCATATATGAATCTGTGATTGCACGAAGAAATGACTGCAGTGTAAGGAGAATATATTCACTGAAAAGCTCTGTAGGCACAAGTTATTTGGAATGTATTTTGGTTTACTGAATCTCTGTTGTACTAGTTCCTTTTTCAAGTGCTGGATGAAATTCTGCACTTAAAGGTATTTTACCACAGTTTTGTGCTTTGTGACATTGATTCCTTAGACAAACTAACTGTTAGTGCCATGCCCATGATTTGATCCGCATCCATCCATATACCTTACATTCTGGCAGCTTGATATTTTACTGTGAGAATGTTTGCTTTCCCAGGTATTGAATTTATTGCGGCAATATTTGAAGGTTGCAAATTATTGCATGTCTTTTAAATAAAATAGTATATACAGTCAAAAGTCTTTAATCCGGACTCGTCGGGACTTCAATTCCAGATTATCGGTTTTTCCGGATTATAGATCATCAATTTAAATCTGGTAAGATGGCATGCAGAAATTATAAAATTAAAAATATGAAACCATAGTTTATGACATAAAGAGCAATTATGATCTAAAAGGTAACAAAATTTACAAAAAAGCTTAATATTTATTTGTTTACTTTATTAAACATTTCTTTCAACATGCGCATGCGTAAAGCATACATTACGCATAGTCGAAATTAGAAAATTGCAACCAGAAAACTATTTGATGTGTATTCGTGATATTTATAATGACGAGGAATTTGATTTAAATCATATCAAAGACGGAGTACATCGAGATAAAAGACTACATTTAGTAAGGAATTATAAGCCGAATAAAATAAGAACATTTGCCCTGAAGATAAGGATAGTGCTGACAGATCAATTTCCAGTTCATTGCGCGCCGCGGCGTTTTCCCCTCCCGCAGGTCAGCGTGAAATTGATAAACAGATTTCGGAATGGTTAGAGAAACAAAGGATATGCCTTTATCCATTTTTTGCAGCAATTCCACTTTTTGTTTGATGGACATCGAAACATGCTTTTGCTTTGTAGATTCTTTGGCAGCTCCAGAATCGGAAATTCTTGTTGACATAATCGAAAGTTCAAGCTTACTTTTATAAAATTGCTCTAACAGTCTGCAAAAAATAATATGCCAGATCCAATTAGAAGATTAAGGAACAACGCAATCTTCAACATTAACTGAAATAGATAATTAGATAATTTTAGCTTAGCTTATACCGTCCGTTATACATTAAACGCGCATGCGTAAACGTATAATGCGCAGAAAAGTTTGTAGCTTTGAGGTCCGGATTATAGATCATTCTAGATTATGGACGTCCGGATTAAAGACTTTTAACTGTACTACAATTTGTGTTAAATCTATTAATATAAGGGCTCAAAAAATTTTAAGACTGACCCTTTTGATGATTTTCTTGATGCTGGATTACATTCCGGAAAGCTGCTAGGAAAAAATGTTTTTTTTAATAAATCATTCATCACGTAGAAATAATCAAAGACATGACTTAGCTTTTCTTAGTTTTATATTACCATAATATTATTTACATTTTCTGTTTTAAAAGGATAATCATTTAAACAAAAATATTCGATTACAGGCTATCCAGAAACTCCGCAAAATCGAGTTAAGTGTTCTAAAAAAAATGCTAATTTTACAGTTTTCGTCTGGTTTCTCTCTCTTGCCAAAATGCTCGAATCAATAACTATTTTCTTCTCCCTTTTTTCTTTTACCGGAGTAGTTGCAACAATTTCCTTTTTCTTGATGTTATTACCTAGACTTTCAATTTAGTATTTAACTGAATTGAAAGTCTATAAAGGTTATTATTATTAGGCTAAGGTTATTATTCAATCTCTGACTGCATCAGTAGCTCATTTTCAGCAAAATCAACCTTTCTCAGTTTCAAATATAATATAAATTACCGCTACAGCTATTTGTTTGATTATTTCTCTAAGAAAGTCTTTGATAGCAGTACAATTTGCAATTACAATCAACTTCTTTACTCAATCACATCAGTGTTGGGTTTGTCGAATCGTTTTTGTGTTACAGATATGTGTCAGGGAAGACCCCAGATGCCATGACTATATTACGATCTAATGGGTGAAACTTACTTGTAGCTTAAGTTTTATAAATTTTTGAATAAAAATTGTTCTGCTTCTTAATATAATATTCATATGCTGTTATTTTCTTATAGATATCAATGAACTTAATCTTCCAAAGACTTGCAAAATGGAATTCCCTGAACCAGATGACCTGTTGAATTTCAAGCTTATCATATCTCCTGATGAAGTATGTTTATATACGTGTCAAACTTTTGACTTTTTGATCAATATGAAGATGCATTTTCATAATTGACAGGAGAATATTTTGGATTCTTAAAGTTATGAATATCAGAATTCTAGAATATCCATATTAAACACAACAGTTTGAAATGTTATCAATATTAAATGATATTAATAAGAATTTTATAATCAAGGAAACTTCAAAATGATATCAGTGAATTCTGAAATGAATACCAGAATCAATGACTATCAATGAAGATATCAATGAATTCTGAAATCAAGCCTGGTGTTTTAATGACAAACGCATTAAAATATCAAGATTGGTTTCTGAATTTAAAATCATGGATGAAAGATATCAAATTTTCCTTAATGATGTTCTATTTCAACCTAAAGGAAGCTTTAAAATGGCAATACCATATGTGTCCTCACTTTTGACATTCAATCAATATAAAAAAAATTTCATAACTAAAATCACAATATTTTATACTTTAATGAATACTTGGAATTCTAGAATACTCATATTAAATACAGCAGTTTCAAACGTTTTCATCAATAATGAATGATATTAAAAAGAATTTTATAATGAAGGAAATCTCAAAATGCGAGTAAAATATCAATGAATTCTAAAATCAAGCTTGGTGTTTAATGATGAATGTATTCAAATATCAAGATTGGTTTCGGAATTTAAGAAGCTAAATAAAGGTGAAAAGTAATGAATTTTCCTTGATAATGATGAAATTTAGCATCAAGGAAACTTCAAAATGGCATTACATACATATCTGACTTTTGACATTTTGGTCAATTTGAAGATAGTTTTCGTAATTAAAATGAGAATATTTTAGATTTTAAAGTAATGAATATGGAACTCTAGAATACTCTTATTAACTACAGTGGTTTGAAATGTTATCAATAATGAATGATATTGATAAGAATTTTATAATAAGGAAACTTCAAAATGCTGTTAAAATATCAATGAATTCTGAAATCAAGCCTTGTGTATGAATGTATTAAAATATCAAACTGTTTCAAAATCTAGAAACTGAATCATGGATGAAAAGGTATCTTAATTTTCCTTAATGACATTGAATTCAACCTAAAGGAAGCTGCAAATGCCAATATCATAAGTATCTCGCGTTTGGCGTTTTGGTCAATATAACAAAAAATAACTGAAAGAATAATATTTTATACTTTAATTAATATTTGGAATTCTAGGATGCTCATTTTAATATAGCAGTTTCAAATGTTATCATCAACAATGAATGATGTTAACAACTTTAATCAAGGAAATTTCAAAATGCTATTAAAATATCAATGAATTCTGAAATCAAGCTCCGTCTTTTAATGATAAATGTATTCAAATATCAAAATTAGTTTCAGAATTTAAAAAGCTAACTCACAGATGAAAAGTAATGAAATTTCCTTGATAATAATGAGCTTTAGCATTAAGGAAACTTTTGAATGTTATTACCAATATGTATCTGACTTTTGACGTTTCGGTCAGTAAGAAGATATGTTTTCATAATTGAAATGAGAATATTTTAGATTTTAAAGTAAATAATCTGGAATTTTGAATACACATTTCAAATTCAGCAGTTTCATATATTGTCTATAATGATTAATATAAATAAGAATTTCAAATTCAAAAGTTCAAAATGCTATTGAAATATCAATGAATTCTAAAATCAGGCTTGGTCTTTTAATGAAAAATGCATTCAAATATCAAGAGTGGTTTCAGAATTTAGCAAGTTAACTCACGAATGAAAGGTAATGAATTTTCCTTGATGGTAATGAACTCAAGCATCAAGGAAACTTCAAAATGGCATTACCATATGTATCTGACTTTTGACATTTTCGTCAATATGAAGATACACTTTCATAACTAAAGTGAGAATATTTTAGATTTTAAAGTAATGAATCTGGAATTCTTGAATACTCATATTAAATACAGCAGTCTCAAAAGTTATAATCAATAATGAATGACATTAATAAGAATTTTTTAATCAAGGAAACTTCAAAATGCTATTAAAATATCAATTAATTCTGAAATCAAGCGTGGTTGTTTTAATGTTAAATGTAGCAAAATATCAAGATTGATTTCGGAATTTAAAAAGCTGTCTCACAGGTGAAAGGTAATGAAATTTCCTTGATGTTAATGAGCTTCAAGGAAACTTCAGAATGTTATTACCATATGTATGACTTTTTGTCAATATGAAGATACGTTTTCATAACTGAAATGAGAATATTTTAGATTTTAAAATATCTGAAATAAAAGTAAATGATCTGAAATTCTTGAATACTTATTTTAAACTCAGCTGTTTGAAATGTCTGTAATTATTAATATGAATAAGAATTTTACAGTTGTAGAAAGTTGAAAATGCTATTGAAATATCAGTGAATTCTGAAATCAGAGCTAGTGTTTTAATGATAAATTTATTAAAATATCAAGCTTGGTTTTGGACACTAAAAAAAAACTAGCTCATAGATGAAAGGTAATAAGTTTTCTGTGATGATAAGTTTTAGCCTCAAGGAAATTTCAGAATGGCATTACCATATCAGTAAATTCTGAAATCAGTGTTGATGTTGAAATTTAAGAAATTAATGTCGTACTATGAGTTAAAATTTCTATAAATGGCTAAAATATAGCACTTGAGTGTCGAGTAAAAATTTAAGGACTACTATGCCTAGTTATCACCAGAGCTGTGTGTGCAGTAAAACTTCAGAGCAGTATGACGGTTTTTACTAATGAGTTGTTGATATGGTGTTGTGTGCAAGCTTTTAGTGCATATAAGCAAGTTAGCAACTATGTTATCTCATCTCATGCCATTTTTTGGAAATTTATTTGCATATATGTATGTGTACTATCTTCTAGTGTTAGGAACAAAATGTAGCCTCAGGTAAAATGCATTCAAGGCAAACACCATGTTCGCCTTTGTTTTTGCTAGATATTTTTTGATCAAACCATACAGCAGAAATGGCCGAGAAGTTGATTGCAAAAGAATTTTTAATTGATCTTAGCTGACAGTAGATGATCTCAACATGTAAATTCAACTTAATTGTGACTTGGAAATAAATGGTTGTGGGTCATTTAGTATTATAATTGATGTTTACTGTTCACTTTCTGCAACAGCAAACGAGAAAGTGGGAGAGTGGTATCTGTCATCTGTTAAGGGCTGTTCATATTGGGATTTATCTGAGGTAGCAGATACAAATGGCACAATTGACACAGATTCAGATGACTAAAAATGCAGTATTTCGACACAGTAGAGCTACTATTGGGGGGGGGGGAATCTCAGCTGTGTGCTAGAAATCTCACTAAACTGCCCAAGCACAAAAGAAAGAATTCATCATCATTACTATCAGTTGGCCTTCTTTTAATACACAGTATGACTGATGATCTAAGTCAGTCAAAAGGCTTCTTGGAAAGACTGTGATGGCTTCAAAGAGGCCTTTGAAATAGATATGATATTTTCATTAAAGGAAATAGTTGCAAGTGTAAAATGATAATTTTGTGAGAAACTGAAAATAAAGAAGGGTTTTATGGTGGAAGTAAAGAATACTACAAAGGGGAAAACTAAACAAATTATCATACTGGAAAAAAGTGCTGTGCTGAATGATATAAAAGAGGTAGCCTGTTGTCCAGTTTGACACTATGAGGTTAACTTTAAAACTATTTAAAACTAACTAAATAAATAAATTTTCAGAAAAGACGATATGTGTATAAGCACATAAAAGACCAGAAAAATTGTAAAATATTTTATATAGGTATTTAAGTAAATTAATAGCTGTAAATTTTCCTGATATCATCGGTTCTCTCTCTCTCTCTCTTTTTTTTTAATGTTAATAGTACCTCAGAAAAGCTAATTCATTAAATTAAGAAAAACTGCATAAATATATTTTACAGTTCTCTTTAAATATAAAAAGTTATGATTATGCATGATGCATATTTCATTATTATTATTTACCTTCCTGTTTTGCAACCTGATTCCAAATATTTCCCAAGTACAAATCAATTACAAGATTAATGTTGAGCATAGAGCTTGGATTATTTTTTGAGCTTCATATTATTTTTTTAAATTATTGTCAGTTTCTGTTTCTTTTATGTAAATATGCATGCATATTACTATGTAAATAAATTAAAGTGATAGTACTTCTAATACCAGTAGTTAAGACTGTTGTGCATAACCAAGTGCAAGCATGTATTGTCATGTGTAGAGGGCTGTGACTCTAAAAAGTTTAAAAAACTGCCAATTTAAGCAATGATTGCAATTTATATGCTGAGAGCAACAACCATTTTCTGGGATAATTAGCTAAAATATGATATAGAGCAGCAGCTCTCAACCTTTTGACTAATGCATACCATCTAAACAAAAATTGAAAACCTTTATACCACCACTACAGAGTACTACTACCACCAACACTCTTAAACAAATCTCAGATCGCATAAATTTACGAGTTTTAGAGAAAGAACTCGATGAGAATGTTGGTGTTTTAATTTTTGAATTTAATAGTTAAAAATAATTTGCTTCTTTGCATACCACACATTTTTCTCTTGTGTATCACCGGTTGAGAACCCCTGATATAAGGGAAACTTAAAGCAGCACTTGGATTCTTATTGCAAACCCTTACCAAAGTGCTGTTTTTTCCCATAATTATTTTCTCTATTCTTCCATTATGGAATGGTAAGTGAATTGAATATCTGTTAAATTCAGTATAGATTAAAAAAGGGGGGGGAGAATGCATGTGCATAAATATAAGAAATATTTAAGCAAAAGTATGCATAAATAAATGACTACAGTACTTTCAATGTTTTTCAAGCCAACTAGTTTCATTTAAAGTCTCTTTTAAATCCATGTATTAAGTAATATCAGTTATATTTTTACCAGTACTGATTCTACAGTACTTGTTTGAATGATCAGTGGGTAGACTTTTTTTGGAGGTCTTGTATATCTTTTTTGTCTTGCTAGGACCCATAAACAAATAATGTTCGCTAAAACATTTATGTGTATT